TCAGACAATTTGTGAAGGTTTATTTTCAACAGTGGGAGTTCTGGGTTTTCTAATCATTTACTCTAAGAGAGGATAAAATGCAATGTAAAATTAAAATTTGAAAATTAAAAACCATGAATTTTCTAGACCATGAGTCTCCAGTCAGTAACTACCTGACTAGCAGGATGGTTTGGAAGGGTTTTTCCCACACTTTAATACCGAGCCCAGCGCCACCCAATGCTAAACTATTAAGAGGGCAGCTTTGATATTAAAACCCAAAGCAGAGAGCTGGACACACTGGTGTGTGCCTGTAGTTCCAGCTACTCAGGAGGCTGAGGCAGGAGAGTCACTTGAACACAGGAATTCCAGTCCAGCCTGGGCCACATAGTGAGACCCCATCTCTAAAGAAAAAAAAAAAAAACAAAAAAAAAATCTGGCAAGAAGTAGATGCTCTTTGTGCATAATAAGGCTTAGGGAATACATGAGCATACCATCGCCTATCATAGTGCAAGAGAAGTTCAATTTATTTATTTGATACATTCCCATCTAGAGGCTGGTCCGTAGTGAGGGCTGCTTTCTCTCTCCAGTCCAAGGATGCACAATTTCCTGTGTCCCTCTATCCAGCAGCAGAACCCTAGGGCAGAGGATGGCTGATAGCAGCCCAGGCTGAAGGTCATATCCCCGCAGGAGGACCTTAGCCAGGAGTTGAGGCAGAGGAGCTGGGCTTATGGGGACTGTGGATTCAGGAAGGGAAATTGAATGAGGATGGGAGGTGGTGGAGAGGGTCTAGGGTGTGTCTCCCACCCACTGCATGTCAGGAATGAGTCTTGAGACACAGGAGTGGAGCCTGCACCTAGGGTGCCCCAGGCAGAGAGTCCCAACCATCCTGGGACTCTGCATCTCTTGGCTCATGTCACTGAGCCAAAGCAAAGAGCTGAGCATTATTTAAGTATGTGTGTGTGTAGTGGCCAATGTGATGGGGTGTGTGTGTTTAGCTAAGTAACAGAGGAGGATATCTCTTCCACCCTTCACTTACCATCACACATCTGTATTTCTTCAGTCTGAAAGGTGGGAAGATGAAGAGGGCCAGGCACGCGTCTGACTGGGCTGTCTAATCCTTGTTTTCCAAGATAGGCAGCTCAGGCTTGGGCTGCACTTTTCTTCTGCCAATTTTTGTACTGGAATTTATGTGACCATTGGTAGATTTTTAAACAGTATCTTTATAGTAGGTTAAATACGGCTGCAAACTCTTTGCTACTCCCACTGAGAGACGGAGTGTAACACTTGACTGATGGAACGTGGTGGAAGAGATGTTCTAGAATTTCTGAGGCTTAGTCTTAGCAAACCTGTGGCTTTTGCCTGTGTCTCTGTGAACATTCTCCGTGGGAATGGTGAGCTACAGTGTAAAAGGCCCAAATGCTCTGTCCACCATGCCAAGAGGCCACATCTGGCATGTGGGTATACTGGTCAACAGTAACAGCCGAGACCAGCAAAAGTGCCAGGGATGTGAGTAAACCTGTCTTGGATTCTAGAACAGCCCATCCACTAAGTGACCAGAAGAATCCCCTGAGCACACCTTGCCCAAATTCCTGACCCACAAAATCGTGAGATAAAATGAAATGATTGTTGTTTTAAGGCACTAATTTTGGAGAAGTTTGTTAAGAAGCAAGCAATAACTGGAACTGTAACATAGAGGAAAGAACATCTGTGGTGTTAGATCTGGACTCAAATCCCAGCTCCATTATTTATCAACTGTGTGATCTTTTCTAGCTTCTTCAGGCCTCAGTTTCCTCCTGTGTTAAATAGAGGTCATTCTAGCTACCTCCTAGCCTCATCATGAAGATGAAATGAGAAAACAGATGGAAAACAGAGCCTGGCTCATAGCAGCTGCTTCAAAATGTTTCTTTCCTCTCCTCTCAGCCTCACCACGCCCTCTTCTCTAGGGTTTTCTGGGATGCCCAGTGAGGGGAATGCAGCAAACTACAGCACCCCCACCACTCAAGATTTTGGAGAAAAGAATTCCAAGAGAATGTTACTGAGAAAATGACTCTGGACCCCCCTGCTCCAGAAAGACAAAATTATTTTCCTGACTTGACTTTTAAAAAATGGATTTACTTGAAGAGCTACTCCAATTTAATGAATAATTAGGGGAGGAAATTAAGGCAGTTACAAAAGAGAATTAGATTTTTTTTTCTTTTTTTTTTTTTTGAGACCAAGTCTGGCTCTGTCACCAGGCTAGAGTGCAGTGGTGCAATCTCAGCTCACTGCAACCTCCGCCTCCTGGGTTCAAGTGATTCTCCTGCCTCAGCCTCCAGAGTAGCTGGGATTATAGGTGCCTGCCACCATGCCCAGTTAATTTTTGTATTTTTAGTAGATACGAGTTTCACTATGTTGGCCAGGATGGTCTCAATCTCTTGACCTCGTGATCCACCCACCTCAGCCTCCCAAAGTGCTGAGATTACAGGTGTGAGCCACCACATCCGGCCAACAATTAGATTTTTAAAAAACAGATACCTTGAACCAGGTGCAGTGGCTCATGTCTATAATCCCAGCACTTTGGGAGCCCAAAGCGGGCAGATCATTGGAGGTCAGGAGTTCGAGACCACCCCAGGCAACATGGTGAAACCCTGTCTTTACTAAAAATACAAAAAAAAAAAAAAAAATAGCTGGATGTGGTGGTGTGCACGTATAGTCCCAGTTACTTGGGAGGCTGAGGCAGGAGAATCACTTGAACTTGGGAGGTGGAGGTTGCAGTGAGCCAAGACCAGGCCTGCTGCACTCCAGCCTGGTGACAGAGTGAGACTCCATCTCAAAATAAATAAATAAATAAAAATAAAATACAAAAATTAGCTGGGTGTGATGGCGTACACTTGGGAGGCTGAAGCAGCAGAATCACTTAAACCTGGGAGGCAGGGGTTGTAGTGAGCCAAGATCGTGACACTGTACTCCAGCCTGGGTGAAAGAGAAAGACCCCATCTCAAAAAAACAAAAACAAAACAAACAAAAAAACTAAATACCTTGTGGTCCATAGGCTATCCATTATTTAAGGTATCAGAAGCAAGAAAATGAAGAAGGGCTCTGTGTGCCCATAGAGCGGGTGAGATTTTGCTATAACCGAGAAGCATCAGTGGTTTTCAGGCAGGAGGCTCTCTCCCTCCTTCTGTCAGTCATCTCAGAGGCGCCCAGAGGCTGCAAGGTGCCCAACCATGCACAGAGGTGGTGAGAACTGCTACCGTGGCGGCTCCAGGAGAAGAGGCCCAGAAATGGACATTTGAATGATTGAAACTCCCTAAACCACTCCTGCTTTCAAAGCTTGCTCCATGTCTCACATTGACATGGAACAATGAGCTGAAATGGGAAACATCAACTCAGGCTGCCCTCCCTCCTATATTTCAGGCAGTGCTCTACTCTACACAGCAAGTCCCCGAACAGGTCTCCCTTTCTTTCCTGCCTGCAGTCATTCCCACAAGTTTACCTCTAAGGAGCTTATTTTCATCCAGACTTTGAGGCAGGGCTCACCAACGCTGCCTTCTGCGCTCCCCTGTCTGTTCTCATCCGGGTCCTTAATGTGCTTACATTCCTGACACCTGTGAGATGTCATAGCATGGCTGCCCTCTCCATTACGCCCTGACCTGTGGTTTAGATGCTGCCCCTTCCTGCACATTTGTATAAATTAGGCTGCATCCCTGGGAACTGGAACTCCCTAATAAGGCAGGGACATAACCCCCAAACTCTAAAACACTTGGACCTCAGACAGGCCTGGATTCGTTCCTGGCCAAAAAAATGACTGTGGCCAGTATGTGTGTGTGCGCTATGTTTAGAAAGCACTTTTGATGTTAGGTTTATTTAAGCTTCACGATTCTTCAGTGAGGTAGGAAATAATCCCATTTTATGGAGGAAAAGCTGAGGTTTGGAAAAGTTATGCCCAAAGTTACACAGCTACTAAGGGACAGACTTGGACTTCAAATCCAAGTTGTTTGATCCCAAACTCAGTGCATGCCCACCATTTCATCCTACCTTTTGATTATGATTGACATTAGAAATTAAATTTTCATGTCCCTAAATTGGATTTGTAAGTAAGCAAGCAAGATCTCTTCCTACCTAAGCACCTAGCGCATTAGCTGGAGAACTAACTGCAAAGCGCTGAAGCCACACAGATTGTTACCAACTCAGCTGTCTCCCCATCCATTCCAATGGATTTGCCATGAGTTTTTTAAAGGATATTAAAAGTTCCCAATTATGGAACTCATTCTAGGTGCCAGGCCCTGTGCCACTCTCATTACATCCATTATCCCACTTCATCTTCATATCAGTTGTCTAACATAGGCATTATCCTTCCCTTTTTGCACACTGGGAAGCTAAGGCTCAAGAAGTCAAATATTGGCTGGGTGTGGTGGCTCATGCCTGTAATCCCAGAACTTTTGGAGGATCACTTGAGGTCATGAGTTTGAGACCAGCCTGGCCAACATGGTGAAACCCCATCTCTACTGAAAATACAAAAATTAGCCAGGCATGGTGGTGGGCGCCTATAATCCCAGCTATTCGGGAGACTTAGGCAGGAGAATCACTTGAACCCGGGAGGCAGAGGTTCCAGTGAGCTGAGATCTTGCCACTGCACTCCAGCCTGGGGGACAGAGGGAAACTGTGCCTCAAAATTGTACAAGGTCTGTTTGTACATTTGTATCTTTATCATATTCTGAGGGATCTGGATTTCTGCCTTCCCCAAACTCCGCCTTCTCTTCACCTTAGTTTGTCCGTAGGAGTCAGGAAACCCAATGTGTCCTCTTGACAGAGAAGAGATTGTTCTAACAACATGAAAAGGGGTGGTCTTTATTCGTAACGTGGGACCAGGTCACCAAGATGACAGATGGGTAACAAGATCTTAGGTGACCAGTTCCCAGCATCCCCCAAAGGGTTTTCTCAACTAAGCAGGAAGTCTAAAGTTGTTTCTCCAGGATAGTCCCCAAGTCTTGTCCATTTTCCATCACAACCCTGAGCGGAAAACTGTAGCAGACTCTTGATTTGGATGGGAAACTGTTTATTTAGCGGGAATACCTTGGAGTGAACTGGTTACCGTTAGCAGGTTTTCCCATGATCCTCATCCTACCCACGGTGATTTCTAAGCAACAAAATCAGCCCAGCAACAATGAGGCCAATCACAAATAAGTCCCAGTATGGTCCAACGGTGTTGTCTGGTTTCAGCCAGTTCCATCTCATTGTGAACTGCTGGCAAGAGACATTCTGTCAAAAACAATCCAAGCTTCCCACCTCCACTCAGAGCCACCTACTTTTCCCAAACCCACTGCCACCAACCCTCCTCCCACCCATTCCCTTTGCTTCCTTCAGTCTTGGAAAACACAATCTTTGCTTGCTTACAACTTCCACAAGGGGTGTAAATAGCACCTTTAGAATAACCCCAAAGATTTAGACACTTTACGTTTTTTCAAACGGTAGCTCTTTGTGGTACCCCTTGCCACCTGCCATCTGCCTACCAGTCTCGGCTATTGATGGTAAGAACTGTTTTGAAGAAGTATATATAGCACATGCCACTGTGCTTAAGGCTTTGAATGTAATGTGTGCTGGAAAAGAACATCTGCTGAATGAATTAATTGCTTATACTGTGAAGTGTCAACACATACTCAGTAGAACACATAGAATTACTCTGCATGGCAAGTGTAAGACTTTGAATTTGACTTCTCAAAGGAAAGCCAGTCCACAAGAAGCTCCCCGATGGGCCTTGTCACATTGTCCCTAGGAGTTGCTCATTGGAGACTTTCAGAGCATTGGAGACTTTCAGAAATTCAGGACTTGTTCAAGACAAACTTACATTAAAAAACAGAATATCCCGGAGCAAATGCATAGTTTCCAGTTTCATGAGGGCAAAGAACACAGGTATGTAGGCATCTGGACTCGTTTGAGCAGCCATGTCATACAATCTTCTGGCCAAGTGAATGTCCTAGAAGGAGAAGAATAGCCCATACCCATCAGATTCTCTAGGAGTAAGTAAACAGACACCACTGTTCAAAATATCAAATGTAATTAAGGGTACAGGACTTAAGATAGGGAGATTATCATGGATTATCCAGGTGGACCTCAGATAATCAAGTGAACATTTAAACAGAGTTATCTCTGGGCTGGGGGTGGAAGCAAGACAGATGTGGTGGAGGGCGACTTCAGAGAGATCCTCAGCATGAGGGACTCAACTTGCCATTGTTGGAAGGGGCCACATGGAATGAGAAGGAATTTGGACAGTCAATAAGGAAACAAGAACCTTGGTCCTACAACCTCAATTAACTGAATTCCACCAAACAACTGGAATGAGCCCTGCAGTGGATTCTTCCCCAGGGCCCCCAATAAAGAACATTCTTGATTTTAGCCTCGTGAAACCCCAAACTGAAGACCCAGTCAAATCACCTGGACTTTTGGCCTACAGAAACCATGGGATAATAAGCTTGTGTTGTTTTAAGTCCCCAAATTTGTAGTGATTTGTTACGGCAAGAATAGAAAATTAACACAGTCTCCAGAAAGCTTTCTTGGATACCCCTGTAACAGCTCCTAATTGTGATTCCAACAAATAGGGTGGAGAATAGGGCCAGGCACAGGGGTTCATGCCTATAGTCCCAGCACTTTGGGAGGCCAAGGCAGGTGGATCACTTGAGGCCAGGAGTTCGAGACCAGCCTGGCCAATATGGTAAAATCCTGTCCCTACTAAAAATGCAAACAGTAGTCAGGTGTGGTGGTGCATGCCTATAATCCCAGTTACTTGGGAGGCTGAGGCACAAGAATCGCTTGAATCCGGGAGGCAGAGGTTGCAGTGAGCCAAGATCGTGCCACTGAACTCTAGCCTGGACGACAGAGTAATACTCTGTCTCAAAAGAAAAAAAAATTCTACAGTTCTCTAAAGTAAGTCAGAATACAGGTAGTTAGTGATCATCATCTAAAATTCTCATTATCTTCATAGTACTTACCATACCTAAAGTTTTAGAATTTATTTATTCATTTGTTTGTCTCCAGGTCCTCAAAAACAAGGACTTGGACTCTCTGTTCACCCCCGAATTCCCAGTCCTTAATGAAGGGCCTAGTACGCAGTAGGTCTTTGATAATACTTATAGGATGATGAAGAAACTATTTTTGGCTCTCATGTTGAAGACAGAGTCCTCCAATGACATAGTACTGTATTTTCAGGAGTTTTTTTTTTTCCATGAATTATGCCATGGCTTTCTTTTTCATCCACTCATGCCTTGTTTTATGTGCTTGTTTTATTTTTGGTTTGCCCAAACAGAGTGACCATAGGCAAGGTGGAGCTGCTTTTAAAGGTAAAAAGTGCCCTGGGCCAGTCCCAGAATTAGATTTTGCTTGGGTGCCCATGGGCTATTTTCAAAAGGAAGGGAAGAAGAAGAGGAATTTTTCACAAACTGTGGTCATCCTAATATCTGTCTTTCTTGCTCCATTACCTAGGCTTCGATACTTGTGAATCATTGAGGCCTCTGCTAAAACTGTTTTTTTTGTTTTGTTTTGTTTTGTTTTTTGGTGGGGGGTTGATGTCTTCTCTTAGCTGTGTTCTGCTTATTATAGCTTAAATATTTTCCAAAGCTTTATGGTCTGGAAAATTGATTTGTTGAAGAAAGAGGAATGTTCTTGCTTAAAATGCAGTTCAGGAGATTGGAACAAATCTTCCTGGAAACATAAAATAGATGTTGTAAAAACCCTAATTTGTGTCTCTGATTCCAACAAATTCAGTGTTCGTTTGAAAGCACCCTGCAGATGATAACAGCTGGGTCAGCCGCACATGTGAAAGACATATTGACTTGAACGGGACGGTCGGGGAAAAGCGGCCTTTGTCAATATCTCAGGCATTCATACTTATTTCTTGTTTGAGGCAGTCGATAGTTATTCATTTATTTCTTGTGGTAAAAGCATTACAATCCAGTCTCTTAGTATTTTATAGTAAAAAATAGTGAGAAGTACCATTAAAGTGGGATGAACTCACTCCTTGTCCAGGAGACCTCACAATTTGCAGTGTGTGTGGGGCTGGGGGGTGAATGTGAAAGCCTTTCTTTAAAATTCCCAGAGAAGGAAATTCCTGAATGCTTCCAGCTAACTAGGGCAACTCATATAAAATAAATTTTAGTACTAGACTAGAAAAGACTCCTCATTCTTTGACCCTATTTAGTAAAAAAATCTAAGTCATGCAAACAAAAAAATCTCCTCCTGATGGTGTTTTGATGATGACCACAGTTCATTAAACGAGAAGTCCACTACATACCCAGTCCACTTAGATTTAACTTTTCTGTGGTACATTTGAATTTATTTTGCTTTAAATTCAGTGATTAAAGAGATTATGTAAACCGAGCTGCAGACTCTTGTTAAAGAACATGTTTCTAACTAAAATGATATGTGGATACTGCTCAATATTTAGATGTTCAAAATAGCTTCTTTTAATTCAAAGATACAGAATTCTCCTGCAGTAAAGTAGCTGGTTTATGAAAATTTTACAATTGCCCGATGCAGGAGTTTCCAGCCCCAAATCTTTGGATGTCAAAAAAAAATTTCTTATACTGGGACAGAGCATGTGAATGGGAAGGTCATTTTTGAATAATTTATTCTTATTTTCTTTTTATAAATATACCATATGTTAATTAGAGGGAATTTGGAAATATAGAACTGAACAAATAAGAAAAAAAGCCACCCACAATCTCACTGCACAGAGATAACTACTGGTAATATTTTATACACATTCTTCTAGCATTTCATGTATATTCATATATACATACTTTTTAATTTAGAAATTTTTTACTCAGCATAATATTTCATCTTCTGCTTTCTTAACCTAAGCATATATTTCAAATAATATGCTGTGTCCTAATATATTCCGCTAGTCTATAATTTTTTTTTTTTGAAACAGGGTCTCGCCATGTCACCCAGTCTGGAGTATGGTAGCAGACTCTTGGCTTACTGCTGCCTCCGCCTCCGGGGCTTGAGCAATCCTCGCACCTCGGCTTCCCGAGTAGCTGGGATTACAGGGACTACAGGTGTGTGCCACCATGCCCAGCTGATTTTTGTATTTTTTTTTGTACAGACCGGGTTTCACCATGATGCCGGTCTAGCCTGGGCATCATATATAACATGGCTTCTATTTTGAAGCATTCTCATTACTTGTAGAAATTTGTTCTGTAACTAATGGAGCTGTACACACACAAAATACTGTTTTTGTATATTTCTGGTTATTTCCCTAGGTGATAAATGTTTATTTCATGAAAAGTTATGATCATTTCTAAGAAGTGTGTTTTCTGTCCTGCCATATTTCTGAGAGGGCCATTTTAAGTATCTAATTTTAACTTATCCTTTCCAGAAAATAATTCTGGTGTTTAAAGCTTCAGCTGTAACACTCCATGGGTGGTCAGACCAGACAAATGAGAAATAAAAATGCATTGTGCCATAATCACTTTTGTTTTTGACAGGTCTATTTATCATTTATTTGGTAGATGTGATTTTGTTTTCTCTGCAGAATCCAAAAATACATGTTATCTAGTAGGTCTACATATATGTATTTGAAACTCCTCCCCAAAGGATAATTTCCCCCGCCTTTCTGTCTTACCTTAGGACAGCTTTCCTATCCATTGTCTTTAAACAGACCTGCTTTCTTCCATTTAAAAAGCTTGTCATGTGTTTCTCGTACTCCATGGTACAAACATACTTTTGAACAGGACCTGGCAGTCCTGATTCCCCTACCTGAGTTAGCTGTTACCTCTTTAACATACTGTGGTACTTTATTTTTAATTCTTTTCAAGTGTGTGTGTGCCTATATATGACCGCCATTTTAGGCTTAACAGTAGCTATGGACAAGTCTCTTCTGTAGTGGACCGTGAGCCCTTTGAAGGCTGTCTTGTTCTTATTGTATCCCCAGAACCAAGCACAGGGCTTACTGATATAGGAAATAGTCCTTGATAAATATTCGAGTGAATAAATGACTGAATGAAAAGCAGAGTGCGATACCATGGTGATTTAGAAGTAGATACCTTTTAAATCTGGGGGTTCTGGCCGGGCGTGGTGGCTCACGCCTGTAATCCCAGCACTTTGGGAGGTTGAGGCGGGCGGATCACGAGGTCAGGAGATCGAGACCATCCTAACATGGTGAAACCCCGTCTCTACTAAAAAAAAATACAAAAAAATTAGTCGGGCGTGGTGGTGGGCGCCTGTAGTCCCAGCTACTCGGGAGGCTGAGGCAGGAGAATCACTTGAATCCGGGAGGCGGAGGTTGCAGTGAGCTGAGATTGCACCACTGTAGTCCCTCCTGGGTGACAGAACGAGACTCCCTGTCAAAAAAAAAAAAAAAAAAAAAAAATTAGCTGGGCATAGTGGTGTGCGCCTGTAGTCCCAGCTACTGGGGAGGCTGCAGTAGGAGAATCACTTGAACCCGGGATGCAGAGGTTGCAGTGACCCAAGATTGCACCACTGCACTCCAGCCTGGTGACAGAACGAGACTCCCTGTCAAAAAAAAAAAAATCTGGGGTTCCTTGAAGGATTCCTAAAGGAGATGACATTGGGGCTGTTCTTTGAAAAATGGACTGGTTTTCAATGGGCATAAATATGGGTTAAGATCATTCCAGCAAAAGGATGGTATCTCAGGAGGGCTCAGGCCAAGGTCTTTGAGGGGAAGGAATAAGTAGCCTAGAATCTAGATAGGGCAAAGTGCTGTATCACACCGTTATTATCAAGGTAGGCTAGGTCACTGGGGGCTTTGAATGTGGAATAGAAGTCTGGACTTCATTCAGCAATAAAAAGTAAATAAGATTCTTTTTATTTGTGTGTTTGCTTGTTTGTATTTTTTGGCGGTTTTATTTGGGGGAGAGGGTAGGATAGAGGGGTGGGTAGGATGAAGGAGGTTACAATATCAGAGTTATACTTTATCAAGAATGACCTGGTAGTGCTTTGTTAGATGAATTATTTATTAAGATAATACTATCTGTAACAAATCCCCAAATTTTAATGGCTTAACACAATAGAAGTTTACTTCTCCCCCATTCAGCATTCCAAAATGTATATTGCTGGTTGGTAGTGAATTTTCTTCATGTGGTAATTGTGGGGCCCAAGCTCCTTCCATCACCTGGTTTTGGGGTCTCCTAAAGCCTTTGTATCTCCTGGTGCCTACAGCCGATGGATGGGAAAGCGACTGGGGGCAGCCCCATCTACTTCTTGGCTGCCTTAGCCCAGGAATGACACTCTTCACTTTCACTTCCATGCCCTTGGGAGAGCTAGCACGCGGATCCAAAGGAGCCCTCGCGAGAGCTAGCACGCGGATCCAAAGGAGGCTGGAGCCCTAGCGAGAGCTGGCACGCGGATCCAAAGGAGCCCTCGCGAGAGCTGGCACGCGGATCCAAAGGAGGCTGGAGAACATAGTCTTTGACTAGGCGGGTGAACCCCAGCTACAAGTCCTCACTATGGACGAGGGATTGCAAAGTTTGGTGAATAGAGTCATCTCGGTCACAGATTTAAAGGGAGAACACTAGAATGGAAGACCCCTGAGTAGTCGTTGCTACAAGCTGAGGTGAGCAGAAGGTCAGAGGCAAGGTACAGACAGAAGGGATGGCCGGGAGGGGATGGGCAACAGGCCTTGTTCATGGTGCAATTTCCAAAGTACTTACAAATCAAGTATCAATTGAAAAACTGTTTGTTTTTTGAGTATTTTTTTGAGAGGGAGTCTCGCTCTGTCACCCAGGCTGGATCTTAGCGCACTGCACCCTCTGCCTTCGGGGTTAAAGCTATTCTCGTGCCTCAGCCTCCCAAGTAGCTGGGATTATAGGCGCATGCTACCTTGCCCAGCTAATTTTTGTATTTTTAGTAGAGACAAGGTTTCGCCATGTTAGCCTGGCTGGTCTCAAACTCCTGACCTCAAGTGATCTGCCCACCTCAGCCTCAGAATGTGCTGGGATTACAGGTGTGAGCCACCACGCCTAGACCCTGAGAAGCAATTTCATAACAACGTGTGTGTGAATGCTTGTGTTTCTAAACTACTTCAGGTCCTCTCCCAATTCCTCACCAGGCATTATTCAGTGTTTCCAGAACAATGATGCAGTCAGTCCTGGCCCAGTTTAAGACAATGAGCTCACTGGCTGAGATGCTTCTCAGTGAAGCTACTAGGATAACTCACCTGCATCATCCTAGCCCCAACTTCCTTTCTGAAAGATGGATGATAACAACAATGACCCATATTTTAATATTGATTTACCAAGAGATGATTTATATCTAACTTTCTTCCCCAGAGGTCTTAAATGTCTGCATGTTTATAAAGCAATACTCTGTATCACCTTCTTTGATTCTCGAAGATACTGTAGTAGTGGTATTATACTCATCTTTCTCACTGGTTTGCATGAGGATTAACTAATAAAGAGGATTGCGAAGTGCCTCACTGAAGAAATGCTTAATTACTTGATGACTTAACTGCTGGGAAGGCGTATTCTCCTACTCTCTTTTCTTTCATTTGAACAAGCTTTGGGCTTTTAATTACCAGGATATTCATTTTAAGAATTAGAGAAGGTGATAGCACCTTGTTAATTTGACTCTGAGATGGCAAGATACCTTTGGGTACTCAGTTATTGTTTTCCTAATTGCTAAACAAAAGAAACCAAATAAAAACAAAGGGCAATGGTCCCTCGTTAGCTCAGCCTAAAATTCTCATATCCCCGTGGGAGGTTACTAGTAGTCTCTGCTTTTTTGTTGTTGTTTTTAATGTAGAGACTTTCTGTAGGAAAATAAAATAGACTTCTGACTGAAAGAGACTGAACAAAATGAACTATCCATGATTTAACAAGAACCCTGGCAGAAAAGAACAGAAAACTGGCCAGAGAGAAACTTCAAAGTGTTTTCCTGAATGTATGAAACGTATGTCTTAACAACTACTATTTGACATTGCGAAGGAAGTGCTTAGGAAAGAGATCAGTGGTGACTCCAAAGAGAAAAACCAACCCCTCTGATGGTCCGCCAGCCAGGCACTGGCTCGCAGTGTGCTCTCCCCAGCATTGCTGGCTCTGTGTCCTGAGAGGACACCCTACCTGTCCCCAGGGACTCAGGCAAAATGGCCTCGCTTAGGCGCGAATACAGCGGTCAGGGCGACCAAGTCCTTTTTGAATAACATGGTGGTGCCGGGGATAGGAAAGCTAACATGGATTTGACACATGGAGTGGGGTCACTTCATCCCTTCTATAGACAGTGCTTCTCCCATATTATATTTTGCACTAGGAATGATGAGTAAAGAAAGGCTTTAATCTTATTGAAGCCTTACTTAGCAGTTGCTCTAATTCCCTTTTGATCTAAATAACAGTCATTCTACACACTGTTTGACTACAAAGCCCTTTCACAAAAGCTTATTCATTTTATCCTTAAAGCCTGGGGTAGGGCAGGTATCTGTTTTACTGAGGTGGATAATGGGTGAGGGACCCAGGGATGGCTAAATAAAATCCTAAGAATCATCCAATTTAGCTATCCCATCCTGTCCCATTCTTACCCACATTTTACAAACATAGGAAGCTTACACCTGCTAGAAATGGGGGAAACAGACTGGATTTGGATTTGACATTCCACTGCTTAGGGTGCCAGGGCTAATGAAAAATGATAAACCAAAAGGCAGGCTGCAGGGGAGGACAGGACGGCAGGGATCCATACCTCTGAATAAGAAGTCCTTCACTGTGCACCATTAGCAATAGGAAATTCCCTACCAATAATTCTCAATTACTAGCACAACTGGAAGAAAGAAGAGAGCATAGGAAAGCCGGCAATTCCCACGTTATTTGGCTCTGGAAATGGAGCCAGGAATATAAACACCGAAAAGAAACACATGCTTGAGCACCAAGAATGACTCACTGCAAGGCCCACTCTTTCACCAAAAAACAGGGTCAGGCAGGGCTGGGTTCAAATTCTGGCTCCACCATTGATGACCTCCGCAACCTGCTTGGCCAAATGACATAACCTCTCTGCACTGTGGCTTCCTGATGCGTACACTGTGGATAGTTCTAGGGCTTATCTCATTGAGTGGTTGTGTGATGTAAATGACAGAAACACATAGCCCACTTAACCCAATGCCTGGCTATTGCTATCATTATTGGTACTGAATACACCTTTCTCACTCTGTGAGACCCTGATGTCATCTTCTGCCTTAATTACACTCACTGTCTAAGAGATTTATCAATACGACTCATCGCCTCAAGTCAAGTGTAGTCTTGGGGGAGTGGAGATTCACTCTCTTGGGCCTTTCTAGAGTATCCAGCACTAGGTCATGTACACAGTAGGTGCTTCATAAGACTCTTCTGGATTAATACCACCTTGGTGTCCAGCTGTGGTCTCTTTTCGCTTTCTCCTTGTTCCTGAGAGCTTGAGAACCAGTGGAAATTTTAATGGAAAAAAAGGCCCAGAGGTGAAGGGAAATGGAGACAGGGCCTACTGGAAAAAGCATGTGCTGGAAAAAGCAGGAACTTATTAATTGAATTGGCCTAGACTAGATCTCTTCTACTCACTAGTTATGTCTTTGGCATAAATGGAGAAAATAACTTCTATCTCATAGGGTTCGTATTGGAGTAAGTAATATGTATTGGCACATGAGAGGGATTTGGCAGATGTTAAGTCCTTTCTTTCCTTCCTCCACATTGAAGACATCAATGAAATTCAAAACATTTACACATTTTCTCTTCCCACATAGATGTCATTACTAGGTTTGAATTATTACCAACACAATTACCTTTGCGATGCCTAAGCCATGTTCATACATATAAGCCAGATTGAACATGGCTTGCGCATTGTGGTATTTGTCGGCTGCAATGCTGTAGTGTGTGGCTGCTGTTTGATAGTCTTTCTTAGTCCCATAGCCATAGTAATGGTAATCTCCAATTTTTACTCTAGCAAATGCATTGCCTGATAGAAATATTAGAAAAAGAAGAATCATAACTCAAATGATTTATGTATAGTTCTCAGGAATTCAACCTAATAATCCTGTTTCAGTCCTTTAAAATATATATGTATCTATAACCAAGTATAAAAAAGAACCAAAAACACTCAGAACCCCAGAACTGGAATTAGATATACTTTATGCAATACAAATATAACACTAAATGCTAACTGTCTTCATTATAGTGTAACATCTATGGTATAGTACAATTTTATTTTATTTTATTTTTTGAGATAGTTTCATCCTTGTCGCCCAGGCTGGCTGGCTGGAGTGCAATGGCACATTCTGCAACTTCTGCCTCTCAGGTTCAAGCGATTCACCTGCCTCAGCCTCCCAAGTAGTTGGGATTACAGGCCCCCCCCACCACACCCAGCTAATTTTTTTGTATTTTTAGTAGAGACGGGGTTGGTCACCATGTTGGCCAGGCTGGTCTTGAACTTCTGACCTCAGGTGATCCGCCCGCCTTGGCCTCCCAAAGTGCGGGGATTACAGGCATGAGCCACCGCACCTGGCCAAATGTTCTTAAAGAACAAGAAATTACCAATTTTATCTTTTAATTTTTTTAAGTAGGTTAACTCTTGGGAAGCTGGACCCCATCCCTCCCATTCTCAGATGTCACTCCTGAAGCTCTGCTCTCCTGCGTCACCACTGTCACCTTCTTTCCCAGATCAATCCCATCCGCCATTCAAACACGCTCTAGCATCTTCTATGAACAAAAATAAACCCTCTCTTTATCCTGTGGTGTCTCCTTCTAGCTCATGCCCCATTTCTCTGTTTCCCTTTTCACTGAACCTTTTCAAAAGTGTGTTCTGTGCTCATTGTCTCCAAAGCTTCACCTCCCACGGACTCTTCAACCCACTCCAACCTGGCTTCTGCCCCGTTGCCCATGAAGCTGCTATTTTGAAGGTGGTAGATGGCCTTCATACAGCCAAATCCATCGCCACATCTCTGTCCTCATCTTACCCGACATCCAAGCAGCACTGGCGTGATGGGCCCCATCTGCCCAAGCACTGTCCTGTCGGAGCATTGATGGCACTGCCTTCTCTTGGTTTCCTTTCTACCTCATGGGCTCTTTATTTCAAACTCTTGCCTGACTCCTCCTCTGCCCAGTTCCTAAATGTGGAATGTCAAGGGCTTGCCCCTAACTCCTTTTTTTTTTCTCTTTCTTCTTTCCCCTCTTTTCTCTTCTCTCGCCTCTCCTCCCCACCTCTCTCCAACACTCTGCTTCATCTCAACTCTTTCTCTGGGTGACCTCGTTTCGTTCCATTGACTGTCTTTATTAACTGTTTCTAAATTTATATCTACCATCTTTCTCTCCCCGAGGCCCAGGTTCTTATGATTGCCTTCTTGATGTCTGCACTTGGATTTCAAACTTAAAATGCCCAGTAGAGATTTCCTAGCACCCTACACACCTTCCTCCAAACAAAATAGTTTCTTCCCTGTCTCAGTACAGTGCCCCCATTGTTCAGGCCATAAGTCTAGGGGAATTATTCCTAGTTCTTTTTCCCTTGCTTCCATCAGCCAATTCATCAAGTCCTATAGGTTGTGCCTCTGAAACACGCTCAACTCTTGACATCTCCTCCACTGCCTATTCCAGCCTACAATACTACAATAGGCTTCAAATTCTTCTTTTATCTTCACTTTCCAACCCATTCTTCACACAACAGCCAGGGTGATCTTTTTATTTTTTTTAATTTTTATTTATTTATTCCTGGCTTTGTCGCATAGGCTGTAGTGCAATGGCATGATCTCAGCTTACTGCAAGCTCAGCCTCCCAAGCTCAAGCGATCCTCCTATCCCAGCCTCCCAAGTAACTAGGACTACAGGCATGCACCACCATACCCATATTCACCATATTGCTCTGGCTTGTCTCAAACTCCTGGGCTCAAGCAATCCTCCCAACTCAGCCTCCCAAAGTGCTGGGATTGCAGGCGTGAGCCACCACACCCAGCCAGCATGATATATATATATATGTAAAATACATGTATATGTTATATATAGTATATATGTAACAGTTTTATTGAGATACAATTCACATACCATCCAATTTACCCATTTAAAGGGTACAACGAAATGGTTTTTCATATATTCAGAGATGTGCAAGCATTACCACAATTTTAGAATAGTTCAATCACTCTGAAGAGAAACCTCATACTTTTTAGCTAGAGGATGATCTTTTTAAAATGTAAAATCAAGTTATGTTATTTGCTTGTGTAAAATCTTCCAATGACTTCACTTTGCCCTTGGAATAATAGTCAGACTCCTTACAACCTACAAGTCATGCCTCACCTGCCCTCTGCACAAGATCCCTGCATTTGATTCCTCAAGGCCCTCTACCTGGCAGGTTCGGAATTCTCTGACTCTTCCTGTGGCTGGCTTCTCTTCATTCTCAGAAGCGCCAATGCCACTTCTCTCCTAGAGGCCGTCTCCAATTACCTTGTCTAAAGTTCCCCTCAGCCCCCACCCCAGAAGTTTTCTACTTCATCTCCATGTTTTATTTCCTTCACAGCATGTCACTGCTATCTGATTTGCTTACTAGTTTATTTTCTCTCTTCCGCATGAGGGCAGGCACTTCATGAGGACAAGCACCTTGAACTCTTAATCACTGATACAGTCCCAGAACCTGGAATGGTACTTGATAAATACATATGGAATGAATGGATGGACATGCAAGGAAACTTTTTAGATAATACTTTCCCCAGATATTAAGTACTTTAGAATATTACTTTCCAAAAAACACGAATATGTCAAGTAGAAAAAACTCATGTGACTTTTTAAGATCTATCAGTCTTTTGAAGTCCACTTAGGGATGACCCCTCAGGGTCCCCTTGGGGTCTATGTTCCCATCCACTAAGAGAGTGTTGATTGGAAAGATGAGGGAACACTCATCTAGGACGGCCATCTCAGCTATGGCCAGCCCTTCTGGCATGGTCTTGGCTTACTCAGAAAAAGAGGAAGGGCCCTGTATGGGCTCAGCTCTAGCATTAAGTGATATAGGACTCCTTCCAAAATTTTCTCATTTGGCCTAATGTAGTGCCTAACATCCTTTGGAATTTATTCCGTTAGGTACTGAAATTCTAATCTTGTAGAATCTTCTGTTAAAATGTAGACACTTCAAAAAGATGTAATACTGTGAACCATCTTTAAGTCTCTCTGAATACAGCTAACATTATAAAATTCTTTTTTATTTATTTTATTATTATTATCATCGAGACATAATCTCACTCTGTTGCCCAGCTTGAGTGCAGTGATGTGATCACGGCTCACGCAGTCTCAATCTCCAGGGCTCAAGAGATCCTCCTGCCTCAGCCCCTTGAGTAGCTGGAACTACAGGTGCACACCACCACACCCAACTAATTTTTCTTTTATCTTTTATTTTTTTGTAGAGATGATGTCTCACTATGTTGCCCAGCCTGTTCTTGAACTATTGGCCTCAAACAATTCTCCCAATTTGGTCTCCCAAAGTGCTGGGATTACAGGTGTGAACCACTGCACCTGGTCTATAAAATTCTTAGCTGACAAAGACATTAGTTATCCGGACTTGCTTTCCAAATGCTTCCAAATGTACAGGTCAGTAACTGGGAGCAAGAACTTATAAGGATGATGCCCAGAAAAGAGGCCTGAGGGAGTCTGGAGAAGCAGGAGGTCCATGGAGCCCTAAAGAGAAACCTATTCCATCTCTAATTTTGCCCAAAGCTGCCCTCCTTTGACCCTAAGATTTCTCCTGGGCTATAACCACAAAGATATAGGACAATTCTGTGCATTTTCAAGTTGTGCGGGCAGTAAACAGCATCCCTGAAGTCTCTAATAATGGAAGGCAGTGAACAAGCTGGTTCTTGGGGGAATTCAGCTCCACCCTAATGAGGGGGCTGACTGGCAGCATGTGGCGATCCGACAGGCTCCCGTGGGGATCAACTGACAGTGGAGGGATTTCCACTTTGATTTCATAGTCACAGGGCAGTGACTGAGTCCTGATGGTTCAGCACCCTCTTCACATGAGTAACTGCTAAAAGGAGTACAGCCAGTGACTAATTGGAAAATTTCGTTATTAGATTTCCTAACCCCAAGTGAGCCACTCAGTAACCATATATTCAGGGACACTTATGCCTGACCTCTCTTAGGACACATGATTATTTTTAGCAGTCTGACTTTCTTATATTGAGAAATTCAGTTTAATATCAGTGTACCAGCTGGGTGCCAGTACAGGCTAACACCTGTAATCCAAGCACTTTGGGAGGCCGAGGCAGGTGGATCACGAGGTCAAGAGATCAATACCATCCTGGTCAACATGGTGAAACCCCGTCTCTACTAAAAATACAAAAATTAGCTGGGCATGGTGGCGCATGCCTGTAGTCCCAGCTGCTTGGGAGGCCAAGGCAGGAGAATCGCTTGAACCCGGGAGGCAGAGGGTGCACTAAGTCGAGATCGCGCCACTGCACCCCAGCCTGGAGACAGAGCAAGACTCTGTCTTAAAAGAAAAAAATATGTATGTATCAATGTACCCTTGTTTTTAATGTCTCTTTTCCTTGCTGCAATTTCCACACTATTTCCTGGCTTGGAATAAACCTGTATTTGTTGTAATTGAGCTGACTGGCCATGGCTGAGAGGTTGCGGGTATTGTTTCCCCACTCTAAATAAGGCTTTCATTGCATTTTATAAAACATAGACTTTTTAAGGGGAATGTCTCACTAAAATTGCATTGATGGCTTGTTGCTGTGCTACCGGCTCAGCTGGATGTGAGAAAGCACCACTGTGACTTTTTCCTCTGCTTCATATTAGTGTCAGCTGAGAATAATTTTTTATCCTATTCACTTCCTGTGAAAAGGGATGATTTGGCCTTAGCATAAGACAATTTTAAGAAACCTAATTGGAAGCAAAATTGCTCTCTTATTGCAAGAGAGTTTTCACATATCCAAATGCCAATGGTGACAGCTTTGCAGTATTTCTCTGCTTTTAATAATGTAATTTTAGGGGAAAAATAGTAAGAGACATTGCAATGCAATGCAAATACCACCTGCCATTGCTTTTCCCACCACTGGTATCTTATATTCCTTATTCATGTGATGCCAGCAAGCGAGACATGGAAACTCAAGGAAAAGGGAGAGGATCCTGCCATGTATCTGTTTTGTTTTGGTTTGGTTTTTCATTCTCATGTGCTAATGATTGTAGTAAAGATCTGAAGTTTATGGTAGTCATCAATGTGATATTTTAATAGAGAAATCACATGAGCCTTAGATATATACATAACTAATTTTGCTTGTAAACTCATTGAGACATGGGTCACATCTCTGATTAGTTCAGTCAAGATCTCAGCAATGAATGAATGAAGCCAGACCAAGAAACTAGTTTCTTGAGTAAAATTGTATATTTCAAAGAACTGTTCTGGCGCCATGGAGACAGAGCTGTAGAAAAATTCCTATGGTTTGCTGAACCAGGGACCTTGATAATAATGGGGAAAATAAATTCCTGGAAATGATCTCTAACCACAGACTGACCCTAACATCAGTATAGTTTGAAATGTCACCTACTTGATATTCTGCTCCTTGCTGCCTATGTGCACAAACACGAAGCTAAAGCAAACCTGATGAATAACAGAGGACAGGGACCGGGTATGTGCTTATTTTTATTTGGGTTCTATACCTTGAATGGCAGCTCGATTCCATAGCAGAAGCGCCATTGGATACATCTTCTCTTTTTCAAGAATGTTAGCCTTTTCTAAAAAAGGAGACATTCCGTTAGGAAGGCTTAAAATGCCTCTGTAGTAAAGTCATATATGCATATGTATGATTGGGGGATTGCAGAGAATTTTAACTTATCTTACTAGATTCCAAAATGAATGCTGAATTGCTTTGAGCCACTTCATATCCCATTTCTGCAAGCAGTGCATACTGAACAAGAGAAGAATCTATATCACCATCCTTATAGGCAAAGTAAGCTGTCAGGAATTTCTCAGCCCAGTGGCCTAGTTCACAGACACCTTTATAAAGCTGTATATGGGAGGAGAAATCAAGGAGACTAGTTAGCTAGTATGCTTCACCCCAGGCAAATGAGAAATGAAATCAGTCTTCAGCTCCTACGGGCTGGTCAGGGAAGGATTTTAGGTCTATATTTTGCAAATTATTTATGGTAAAGAGTTAATACCTTTTATAGGCACAAAGATCAGAAGTGTTTGGGTTTGTTTTGTTTTTGTCTTGAGGGAAACTTCCTCAGCCTTATTTTAAATTTGTATAATAAACTTTCCTGACTTGGAGGCTATGTGGAAGAATAAGAATGTATCGCTAGTGTGTGTGTGTGTGTGTGTGTTTTAAAGGGACTTTCTGAGCACTGCGGCTCTGCAAGGGCAAGTTATAAGGCCACAGCTGATGTGAAAAGGAGAGAATGAAGGGAAGACAGTGCCGGAGGGTGTAGGTGACATAACTGTGAGGAAGGTGTGCAGAGCCCTAGGGGGACAAATGTCAACTTAGCTGAATAGCCCTTATGTAACCAAAAGAGGTTAGCCATACATAATTCATTAGGAAGTTGGCAAAGGAGCAAATCTAAAGATAGATCATTAGCTGGCAGCTTTTGAAATGAGCTTCAGAGGGGCCAGATTGCAACATAGAGTATTTATGCTGGTGCAGCAGACGTGTTTAATAAATCAATGAAGGACATTAAGGTCCTAAAAGCATTCTTTTGGAAAGCGTATCACTGGCTCAGACTGAAAGAATTCACTTTCTCAATTGTCATCCAAATCATCAAAAACCAAAGGATGCTGCTTTCTCGGAAGAAGTGGGCTACATTTTCTAGGCTAAATCTAGCCTTTCGTTTCCCAAGTAGCAACTCCCTATCCCACTAGAAGTCCCACATTGCCCTGGTGATTTGATTGAATGCTGAAACAGAGCTCCTTAACTGCATATTGAGGTGGGCTCTGAACTTGATGAAAAGCCAAATGTCAGAGAGAGGAGAGATCTTTTCTCTGTCTCCCCCACCCCGAGTTACATCACTGCTTTTCCCCTCTGACAAATGTCAGTATTCACATTGTCAACTGGAAGAAAAGAGGTAATATTTATAAAATCAAAGACACCAACAATTTAAGAACAGTATCACCTCCTCTGTGTCATATATGACAAGTGCTTTAAAAACAGCCTCATATTGTATTTACCTCCACAGCAGTTCTGCATGATCTTACTACTCCTGTTCCTGTTGCATACATCTTGGCCAGATAATAAATGGCGAGGGGCTGCCCACTCTGAGATGCCAAGTAAAAATATTTAAAGGCAAGTTTATAATCCTTCCATATTCCAGAGCCAGCTGAAAATTAAAATCATTTTAAGCCATCCCTTATTGACTTTATTTTTTATATTATAATCACTGGATATAATAGTCATTGTGATGCCTGCTATTTAAATACAATGGGAAAAACCAACCAAAAGTCAAGCTACTCTAAATCCACTATTTGTGAAGGTGGGGGTGAACACTGAATTTGGTTCTAAGTAAGAATATGGAAATTTATATTCTTGAGCCGTTCTGAAAAAAAAATCGAGAAAGAAGGACTACTTAGTCCTGTGAAAGTATCTCCCCACTATGGCATAACTAAAGTTAATGCAAAGGAAACCAAGTGATGGTCTCTGAGGACCCGAAGCCCCACCATGATGCATCTCGCCATCTTTGTCATCCTTCCTTATCAGGGCACCCATATAGCTTCTCCCAGCCACAACTGTGGCGTATGCAGCAGGTAAATCCCAGCTCCAAGAAGCCAAACTCTCACCAAACTCCTGCTTAGAGCAGGAATAGGCATTTGAAGCTAGATCAGAGAACCAGCAGACTCCCAGCAGCCAAAATTCTTGTCCTGGCTCTCTCATTAGTTCTTTTGTGAGTTGGGCACTTTATTTGCAAAAGTGAAGGCTTTCCTTAGATTATCTTTAAGTTATCTTCCAGCTCTGACACTGGAGCCTTTAGAAGCAGTGCCACGTAGCGATTAAGAGCAAAAGCTCTGGAGGCAAATAGCTTGAGTTTGAATTCCAGCTCCACAACTGTGTGATCTTGGACAAGATGTCCAACCACAACATTGGCTTAGTTTGCTCATCTGTCCACTGTGGGATACCCCCGTAGATGTGTTGAGAGGGTCAAATGAGTTAAAACATACAAAGACTTAATATACATTAGCCATGACTATTTTTCTTATTCTAGAAACTTGGGAAATCTGGTAGATCCCGAGCCAAGAACTTGGAATGAACTAAAAGAACAAGGCCATCTTAGGCAACCTCAACCCCCCAAGATAGTACAAAACAGGTGCTCCTGCTGGGCCACTGTGGAAAATGCCAGTGACCCCTTGACTGGATGTGACCTCCTTGATGATGCGGTCTGCTGCTGCCCTGGCTCTGCCTCTGACATGAAGGACTTGGTGGGGATACTCAGGTGTGTTCAGATGTCCTGCTGTTTATCTTGGCCACTTCCTCTCTCACTCCCCATAGAGATTATTACAAACTTTCATGGCTTTCTGAGACCTCCTAGCCAACCACTCTACTTTGGCTCACAGAAGTCCACTTTGTACCTACGAGATCATTGAAGAAAACTTCATATTGTCTTTCCTCACTCGCCTCTCTCCCCATCCCATTCCCCCATACTTAGATTCGCATCATCCTTTCCACCCTCCCTCCAGTCTTTGAGGCTGAGCAATCCTGCCTATCTATCAAGGTTAAAGAGGCTTCCACTGCTCTGCACCCAATCAGGTGCTAATACCACCAACGTTTTTCAGAGTCTCTTTCCATCAGTTACAATTATGCTCAGGTCTCTTGCCATCTTAAAAGTAACACCCTCTGGGTCCTTAGTCCCCCTAATGCTGAGTTCCTTCTCTCTCTTTCCCTTTAAGGGCATGCTGCTTGCAAGAATACTTTTATTTCTCAACTTCCTGATCTCAAATTCATGCCATTGTCATCCGGCTTCCACCCCAAGCAGTCCAATGACCTCACCCACATTCTCTGTATTGCCAAGTCTTATAGATATCTCATTCTTTCTTACTTGTTTTTTTCTCTTTTTTTGAGATGGAGTCTTGCTCTGTTGCCCATATTGGAGTGTAGTGGTGTGATCTTGGCTCACTGCAACCTCCACCTCTTGGGGTCAAGCGATTCTTCTGCCTCAGCCTCCTGAGTAGCTGGGACTACAGGTGCCCCTCACCACACCAGGGTAATTTTTGTATTTTTAGTAGAGACGGGGTTTCACCGTGTTGGTCAGGCTGGTCTCGAACTCCTGACCTAGTGATCCGCCCACCTCGGCCTCCCAAAGTGCTAGGATTACAGGCGTGAGCCACCATGCCTGGCCTCTTGTTTTTTAAACCAGGTTTCTCACTGCGTTTCACAGGGGTGCTCGTTCATTTACTCTTCCTTGAAAGTTCTTCCCTTGGCGCCATTAAGATATATATATATATATATTTTTTCCCCTATTCCTATATATATATATATATTTTTTTTTCTTTCCCTATTCCACTGAACTTGCCTTTCCATTCTTCTCAGTGATGTACTTCCCCTGCCTACCCTTCAATACAGAATGGAGGATCACTAGTTATCTACCATGGTCCACTGCTCTTTCCTCTCACCCTCTTGCTCCTTTCCTTTTGCAGCCTCAACTACTCTTAACTAACAGCTGTGTGCTGATGCCTCTCGAACCTTCTCTGTAAGTTTGACCTTTCTTATGAGTTTCATACTTGCTTCTGGGGATGTGCATGGGATATCGCTAGCACCTCCAACTTAACCTTGTCATAGGTGAGCTTCCTGACTCTGCACCTCCTTGTCCCCTCTCCCAACTGGTGTACTTTTCTTTAGTCTTTTTCAAATTCTTATTTAATTTGTTGCCTAAATGCTCTGTCTAAACCACTCACACCAACCGTTTGATGTTTGTTATAAAAGGAGCAGACTTAATAGTGCATATGTCATTCTAAATAAAGCAGCCGTATTTATGGCACTTACAGTAGTACATGAAGCCTAACTGGAACTGTGCATCGGGCCACCCTTTCTCCGCAGCTTTCTGAAAGTATTTAAGTGCTTCGGCGTAATTCTGCAGATAATTACACTCTATTACTCAAAGGCACAAGTAAAACTCCATGGAAACAATTGCCTTCCACTTTTTAAAAAGACTATAGACAGTGCCCTATGTGATTTAGGCTAATTAAAATAGTATCAGAAACATTATATATTTTATTTCATTATTATATTAGACTCTATTAGGAACTAATGTCTCATTTTCATCATAATTATGTCTTTTTCTACCTTGACAGTACATTTTGTTAGATATTGGGGGAAGGTCACCTAAAAGACTAAGAAGATAAATTTCTCCATCAATAAAGTCCTCAGAGGAGAGATGATTTCTAAGGTTACTTAGAATCTATGATTCTAAGATATAATTAGAATTACTATTATTGTCACAAGCTTGTTCTTCAGTGTCTCTTTGGCAGATATTTCACTGGATTATTTTATTCTCTATTATCTGATATAACAGTTTGGCAAACCAGATAATAGAGATGAATTCCTTTAAACTAATGAATGACCATGAATTTTACCCTATAAATTGCTACAAATGAAAAGATAATAAAATAATTCAACTTACCACGGGAACTCCTTTTCCATAAAAGTAAAGAAGACCAAGCCCATGAAGGCCAATTGCATTGCCCTAGAAGAGTTTTAAAAAGGCAAGTAAAGTACCAGAAGAATTCATGATAAAGAAAATTACTGCAAAATTATTCAAAATATTTGACATGCACCCAGTAAGAAATTAATCAAGGCAGTTGACCGGTTATTCTGACCCACTCTAGTTTCTCCTTTTATACTTTCATAAACCCTTCTGGCTAGAAAAGGGAAGAGGGAAACAAAAGTCAAATCTCTCCTCCATTCTTGTATTCAACACTTATTTAGGACTTGCTTTGTGTATGATTCCATAGTAGGCACTGGACAGAGTTAGGAGGTGAAAGGTAAAAGATGAAGAAGCTATAATCCCTGCCTTGGAGAATTCACACACTAGTGGGCTCTGAGCCATATCAAAGAAGAGGGGCAGGTCAGACCTCTTAAGAGTTCTGTCAAATGTGGTAAGTCCTAAAGTTGAAATAGATTGAGGCCGGGCGTGGTGGCTCATGCCTGTAATCCCAGCACTTTGGGAGACTGAGGTGAGGGGATCACCTGAGGTCAGGAGTTTGAGACCAGCCTGGCCAACATGGCGAAATCCCGTTTCCACTAAAAATGTAAAAATTAGCCGGTCGTGGTGGCAGACGCCTGTAATCCCAGCTACTCGGGAAGCTGAGGCAGGAGAATCGCTTGAACCCATGGGGCGGAGGTTGCAGTGAGCCGAGATTGTGCCACTTCACTCCAGCCTGGGCGAAAGTGCAAAACTCTGCCTGGAAAAAAAAAAAAAAAAGAAAGAAAAAAAGAAGTAGATTGAGAGTGTTGCAGACACCTAGAAGAGGGACACTCTAGTGCCTGATTGAGACTAGGAACTGAAGAAGATCGAATTGTCAGGAGTGGGGGTGGTGACATTTGAGCTAGGTCTTAAAGGATGTGTAGGAATTTTCCAGAGGGGAGAAGTCTATCCAGACACTTGTTACCTACTCAGGTCTAAGGAGGTTGACATAAATGGCCAAATCACATTTTAGAGACTGTGGATTTCAGTCCAGCCACTACAGATAGTAAAGCATTGTTGGTATATTTCTTTATTCAAATTTATTGCTTATAACATCCCTGATGTTTCCTTTTCCACTTGATGCTAAATTAATTTATTTTCTGATTAATATTCTGAATAAGAAAGGGAGTGTTTCACACATTTAGTATTCAGCACATGTTCAAATATATAGATATTTAGCATATCAATTTTGGATGAAGAGTGAACTTTGAAAGTGACTTTCTCAAGGAGAAAACTCTTTCCATCTCCTATCATGCATTTCACCCTCTAGTGACTACAGTAAGAAACCATGATTGACCACCTGACTTTCTTTTTTCTTTTTTTTTTTTTTTGAGACGGAGTCTCACTCTGTTGCCCAGGCTGGAGTGCAGTGAGGTGATCTTGGCTCACTGCAACCTGTGCCTCGCAGGTTCAAACTATTCTCCTGCCTCAGCCTCCTGAGTAACTGGGATTACAGGTGCGCGCCATCACACCCAGCTAATTTTTTGTATTTTTAATAGAGACGGGATTTCATCATGTTGGCCAGGTGGGTCTCAAACTCTTAGCCTCAAGTGATCTGCCCATCTCAGCCTCCCAAAGTGTTGGGATTACAGGTGTGAGCCACCGCGCCCTGCTGACCAACTGATTTTCATTCAGCAGATCTGTAGGTATGTTTTACAGGTTTCTAGTATTTCTGCAGGAACTTGTGTTCTAATAGAAAGCTCTCCAAATTTCTTCTTACCACCTATATTTAGTTATTGTAGATGCAGCCAGAGTAACCCTCAGTAACACAGGAATAGCACATAAATAGAGAAGGCATATTTCAAAAACAGTTTCAAGACTCCAAATTTTGAGCCTATCATATGAGAGGATCTGCTATTGTAAGAGTTCTTAAGGACAGTACATCCGTATTTAAAACAGATGGTATAATTCTGCTCTCTTCTTCCCTCTTCTCTCCTGGTCACATCTCTTGTGGTTCTGGGAGTCTCGGGTTGCTCTGCTCTGGAAGTAGTACGGCTCAGTGTGATGAATGTGGCAAAGTCTAGTGAGTCTGTCTTCTTCTAATTAGCCTCGTTTAGATGTCATCTTGAATTGTAGTTCCTATAATCCCCATGCATCATGGGAGAGACCTGGTGGGAGGTAATTGAATCCTGGGGGCGGTTACCCCCGTGCTGCTGTTCTTGTGATAGTGAGTGAGTTCTCATGCGATCTGATGGCTTTATAAGGGGCTTTTCCCTCTTTTGCTTAGCACTTCTCCTTGCTGCTGCCATGTGAAGAAGTACGTGGTTGCTTTCCCTTCTGCCATGATTGTATGTTTTCTGAGGCCTCCCCAGCAATGCTGAAATGTAAGCCAATTAAACCTCTTTCCTTTATAAATTACCCAGTCTCAGGTATGTCTTTATTAGCAATGTGAGAACGGACTAATACAGAAGGGAAGGAAATAGAAATGAAAGGAGGGAAGGAAGAAGGGAGAGAGAAAGGAGAAAGGTTAAAATAGCAGGGACAAATTACTTTCTCCTCTAAGGGAGTCCCTGGGACCCCAGGGGCTCAGTGAATTACCCATCACTGTTTAAGGCCCAGCGTACCTATTTAGAACTTGTCAGGTGAGGAGTGGCCAGTGCAGATACCTGCAGGAACCATGCCGTTGATATAAGAAATAAAATATGCCGGGTGGTGGAGACAGTGGTGCAGATGGAGACACATAGAGTCCCTGCCCCGCATGAAGGCAGCAGCAGCTCTCAGCTCCTCTGCTCCAGCTGAAAATGGCAGTCCTGTTTCATTAGCGTTTGTCATTGTCTTTTCTTTTCTTTTCTTTTCTTTTCTTTTCTTTTCTTTTCTTTTCTTTTCTTTCTTTTTTTTAAAAGACAGACTCTTGCTCTATCACCTATGCTGGAGTGCTGTGGAATGATCTCAACTCACTGCAACCTTTGCCTCCTGGGTTTAAGTGAGTTTCATGCCTCAGCCTCCCAAGTAGCTGGGATTACAGGCATTCGCCCCCATGCCCGGCTAATTCTGTACTTTCTGTAGATATAGGATTTCACCATGTTGACCAGGCTGGTCTCAAACTCCTGACCTCAAGTGATCCACCAGCCTCAGCCTTCCAAAGTGCTGGAATTTAGAGGTGTCAGCCACCATGCCTGGCTAGCTTTTGCCATTTTCAAGAAAAGCTGGATGTTTAGATTTGGATGTCAAGTTTACTGATTTATTTATTTAATTTATTTATTTTTTGAGACAGAGTCTTGCTCTGTTGCCAGGCTGGAGTGCAGTGACAGGATCTCAGCTCACTGCAACCACTGCCTCCCAGGTTTAAGTGATTCTCCTGCCTCAGCCTCCTGAGTAGCTGGGACTACAGGCACAAGCCACCACACCCAGCTAATTTTTGTATTTTTAGTAGAGACAGGGTTTCACCATGTTGGCCAGGATGGTCTCAATCTCTTGATCTGGTGATCCGCCCACCTCGGCCTCCCAAAGTGTTGGGATTACAGGTGTGAGCCACCATGCCCGGCCAGTTTACTGATTTTTAAAACACTTTCTGGCCCAGAAAAACCATATGTATAGCCAACCCCTCCAGTATACACCAGCTGTTTTAGGGTGTAATGCTGTTGCATAGGTTAACTGACATGAAGTCAGGGAGCAAATAGGCCTTTCTTTGCAAATATTTAATAAACCCCTGCTCTAGACCCCTTTATTTAATAACCCCTTGGCAGGACCTTTGCCCTCCTCTAGTTGAGGGCACATGGCTTTTGGACAGGAGGGGAGAAGCAACAGGTAGGAACCAGTTAAATCCCAGCAGCAGGAGTGAATGCAGGGTAAGTTCAGAAGAGGAAAGAGATCATGTGAGCCAGTAAGGGCAGGGGCAGCTCTGTGGCTGGAGGGAGGACTGGGCTGTGCTCCGGGGGATAAGTAGGACTTAGAATAAGAGACTCCGGGAAGAGGAGGCAGATGACAAAAGTATGGAGATGGGGATGGGCCTGATGTGTTCAGGGGCGCAAGAGAGAACTGGAGGAATGTGGTCCAACATGGGCACAATGTCACATTCAGTCACTGTGCTTGTTTCTAAGTAAATAAGACAAAAGAGGTTGTAAAATCTGTAGCTCTGTGTCATGGTATTGATATCATTTAAAAACAAATTTACAAAGCAGTTTTAAAAAAAGGAGTAAGAGTGAGAAATCTCATAAATTGTCCAGGCACTGATCAAGAAGTATGTGGCCATCTCTACCCAATGCCATTTAGAATAATTACCTTAATTGTAAGTTCAGATTTCCTTTGTAAAGGAAAGCAGCTCGGGTTCAGCGCACCAGAGACCCAGATCACTGCTGGTTGGTTCCACAACCCTGAATAGCTTGGAAGCTGAGTTAATTTACACTCCCATCTCCCTGGCATTATTCTTATGGGCTGACAAATCAGTGTTATTTGCCAGATTATAAGAGATTTTCCTTGTCACTCCTTTTCAGTCTGCTTTTCCTTGTCATCCTAATCTAATGGTACTTCAGATAACTGCCTTGCTGAGCAACAATTTCATATAAATTACAAGGGAGAGAAGCCGAGTACTAGCCTTCTCAGTAATTTATACCACAATAGCAGCAGCTCCGAGGTGCTAGTCACTTATAAATAGGCTCCTAGAGCAGTGTGTGGGTTTTTAAAAACTGGGAACAGTTGAAATGATTCCTGATTTGAGCACATCTTTACTGCCAGTGTTCCAGTATGCAACTGTAAGACAACAAAATGCTTCCTACTGTGCAGGGATAGAAAGTTTACCAAGGCCATTTGCCAAGAGCAGGCCGATGGGTGTTGGGATGAGGCCATCTTTTGTGCATGAAAGGGATTCAGAGGAGTCTACTAGGTCTTATCTGACAGATACCAGCCTCACGGAGCCCAGGAACAAAGGCAGAGACTTCAATGCAGGAGGCATATTATACCATTTCGCTCGTCCCTCGTACAGCTAATTCATTCTGTCTGGAATGTGCTCCGAAGTTCACTCTACCTTACTGGCCTCACACTGCAAAAGATAATAGAGTGCTTACTGTCTGTCAGGCACTGCTTTAAGTACTTCACAATATGAGGCACAGCCTCCTGAGCAGCTGGGACTACAGGTGTGTGCCAGCACGCCGGGCTAATTTTTGTACTTTTTGTAGAGATGGGGTTTCACCATGTTGCCCAGGCTGGTCTCAAACTCCTGAGCTCAAGCAATCTGCCTGTTTCAGCCTCCCAAAGTGTTGAGATTACAAGCGCGAGCCACTGTGCCTGGTAGGCAAATATTCTTGAATTCCCATTTTACAGATGGGGAAATTGAGGCACAGAGAGGTTAAGTAACATGCTCATGTGCACACATCTAGTCAGTTTCAAGGCTGGCATTCAAGCCAAGGATTCTGTCTCCAGATCCCTATTCTCAGTCTCCTTGCCCTGGCCTCCTCCGTGATAAGCTCCCACCTCAGCCAGAACCCTCTGGCCGACAGAGGGATTTTCCCTTCCTCTGTCCTCATCTCTTTTGTTTCCTGTTCCTGAGCTAGATGGCCTCATCTATTGCATAAGGGGGAGGGGAAAGCTGAACTTCTGTCTGGCTTCCTCCTGGCCTCTGCTAGGACAGCACAAGCCACTGCCATTTTTCATTTTCCAAGAAGACAAGTCGTAGCTTCCCTTACTGTCATTGCATACTCTCATCACCAATATTATACTTCTCCAGGACACAAAACTCCTTACTGGCCCATTATCTGGGCTTGGGACTTTGAAGTTCATTCTTTGGCACCAGTCTGCATGTAATAAAAGCAATTTGTGTGTATGTGTTTACAGCAGTGCATTAAGGACATACCTTACTGGCTGCCATGGAAAAGTACTTGAAGGCAGTAGCATTATTTTGCGGTGTGGCAGCATTCCCCTCTAAATACATCTAGGAAGAAAAATGAAAAGAGGATAGAAAAAAACAAAATAATTTGAGGGTAATACAAATATTTTAAAATGAAATAGAGGTAAGAGTGGTACAACACATTGAAAGTAGTAAATGCCACTGAATTGTATACTTTAGAGTCGTCAATTTTGTGTTATTTACATATTTACATTTTACCTCAATTTAAAACAACAAGAAAAAGTAAGAGTACCATTTATTACAGATTTCTGGAGTGACCCTGCCTGAGGGCAAAGAAATGGACCCTGTTTCTGTTTTCTCTCTCTCTTTTGTTTTGCATCTACATATACTGTGTGTTGCACTTAGGAAGCAGGACATTTGTCCCTATGGTTACTAATGCAAATCGGCCGCAGGGAGCCAAGGGTGGCACATAGGGGAGTGAATAGTCTTTGAAGGAGAGAGAAGAGCATGCATTTCCAGAGGAACCCTCCACCAGGCTACTCTGCAGTCATAGGAGGCCTCCCATCAGAGGTGGCATAAGTATAGCTCTAGTCAGTCTGGAGCTGATTCACACTCCAACGGTAGAGGAGAGAAGGGCCTGATTGGGCTCAGACCTGTACCCGTCTCCAGCACTCAACCAACCTGGATCTCCTCTTACATATTGGGGAGTGGGGTGGTCATAGGCTCATAGCTACGCTCAGAGGAGGAGACTTGGGCCAGGTGCACTTTTTAATTTTATTTTTTATTTTTGGAGATGGAGTCTTCCTCTGTTGCCTAGGCTAGAAAGCAGTGGCATGATCTCGGCTCACTGCACCCTCTGCCTACCGGGTTCAAGCAATTCTCTTGCCTCAGCCTCCCAAGTAGCTGGGATTACAGGCACCCGCCACCATGCCCAGCTAATTTTTGTAGTTTTAGTAGAGACGGGGTTTCACCATGTTGGCCAGGCTGGTCTTGAACTTCTGACCTCAAGCAATCCACTGGCCTCCGCCTCCCAAAGTGCTGGGATTACAGGCGGGAGCCACCGCGCCTGGCCCAGGTGCACTTTTAAGGTTGCTTTTGGTGCCCCAGATAAAGGCTGCTGTTATATGGGGCTTCTTCCCAAACCGTCACCTCAAGAATACCACCCTCAGGTCGCAGCCAAACGCCTCATTCAGCTGCTTCCGTCAGAGAGGCCTGCTGCGCTGTCCCTCTACAATGGGTTCAATGAGCTGATATCATTCATTTGTTATGTTTTTATTTTTTAAATTTAAATTTTAATTATTTTGAGATGAGGATCTTGCCGTGTTGCCCAGGCTGGTCGCCTGTGCTCAAGTGATCTTCCCACCTCAACTTCCCAAGTAGCTGGGACAACAGGCACACGCTGCTAATTTCTTAGGTTTTTAATAAATGAAAACTATGAATCAAGATGAAGCATGTACCTTTCCTATAAATGCCATGGCATTTGCACTCCCGGCCTTTGCTGCCTTTAAGAAGTAGTGTAATGCTTTCTGGAGAGAAAAGAAACAGTGTTATTGCTAGTCACAAAATAAATCCTTCAAAATAGCTTTTTGAGCCACATTTTATTTAATTCAATATGCATTCGAAAAATAGCTATGGTTCTTGCCACTGAGCTTAAAAAAAATCTGTGAAATGCCCATTTTGTTCAAGGCACTATTCCGACCAAGTGCTTTTTCAACCATAACCTGAGGAGTGGGAGAGTGTCTCCATCTCTTTATCTCTTTCTTTCATATCATTTTATAACATGAGGACTTGCTTCTTACATTTGGAAAGCCACGACGGGAATGTAGCTTTGTAGGGAGAGATGAATCCCAGCTGTGAAGCTAAATAGTCCATTATTTTGAAAAGCAGGCTTCTCTGTTGACACTGTGTACTTAATAAGAGGTTTTACTATGGTTGGCAGAATTGGATACACAGTATCCTAATGTTTATAGGCATAGTAAGACCAGACACACTTGCCCGGCTGCTGAGATCAGGTCTTTATGCAGAAGTGAGCTTTAAGACAATTCCTTCTGACTCAAATTGAAGGACGCCAGTAAAGCCTCTGATTTTTGTCTAGGTCATTACATTAAATGAAGCACTCTGTCTAGAACACGTAAGGGCTGACCTTGTCCCTTGCTGCCACACTCCCTAGGCTTCATCTTGACCTTCTGGAAAGCCCCTCCTCGGAAACCATATAGAGCAATGAAAGAAATCAGCCTCAAGAATGTGATATGAAACCGCTGTTTTTGTTTGTTTGTTTGTTTGTTTTTGAGACGGAGTCTCACTCTGTCGCCCAGGCTGGAGTGCAGTGGCATGATCTTGGCTCACTGCAGTCTCCATCTTCTGGGTTCAAGTGATTCTCCTGCCTCAGCCTCCCGAGTGGGATTACAGGCGACCCCCACAATGCCCAGCTGTGAAGCCATTCTTTAAAGTGTCTTGTTAGGATACGACCCTTCTGCTCTTTAAAAAGTGTTGATCAGGTTGATGTGCAAAGATGTTCCTTCTCAAAGAGAAGAGAATGTTTAAGGAAGAACTGCTAGTAGTTATTTGACATGGAAGTTTGCTGTAGGAATGTTGCTAACTTCTTTGTGGACATAAGTACAAATGCTGCCACTGCTGAACCTCATGGCATCATGCCTCCATTGATCCATCCAGCTCTCCCAATCTTCATTTACCCTTTCAAACACTTGATTGAAGCCTGCTATATTTAGGATAGTATGTTACGTATTATAGGTGATTCATAGATAAACAGAAACATGATTCCTACATTTGCTCCCTAACAATGTTCCTGAGAAAGAGAATACATATAAATAGCAGTAAGATAGTAGGTAATAGGTGGTATAAAATAAACTCCATAACGAATTAGAAGGAGATAGAATAAAAGACATTGTATCCAGTTCTCCAATAAGTGTTTTGCAAACTTTTTCTTCCCTAATCTTCACAATAGCACCATCAGGAGGGTGTTATTAATTTCTGATCTTATTACCAACATGTCAGAGTTGTGCAGTTAGTACTGGAGATCAATAAGCAGCTCGCCACTCTGTCTCCACGGTATACAGAGGAGGGCTAAAGTGATCGAGGCCTCATGAAAGATGGTGACAAGTCACCAGTACAGAGGCTAGGGGAAGAACCTGAGCAAAGGAATGGGGATGGGAGTGGCCAAGTTGTGTTCAGAAAATAGTAACTACTTCAGCGTGGCTGAAATACAACATCCGAAAGCCAAGACTTACAAAAATACGATGGGACCATTACTATAAACAGTGAATCACTCTTTTTTTTTTCTTTCTTGAGATGGAGTCTTGCTCCTGTCACCAGGCTGGAGTACAGTGGCGTGATCTCAGCTTTCTGTAACCTCCGTCTCCTAGGTTCAGCAATTCTCCTGCCTCAGCTTCCTGAGTAGCTGGGACTACAGGCGTGCGTCACTATGCCAGCTAATTTTTGTATTTTTAGAAGAGACGGGGTTTCACCATGTTGGCCAAGATGGTTTCAATCTCTTGACCTTGTGATCCGCCCACCTCAGCTTCCCAAAGTGTTGGGATTATAGGCATGAGCCACCTGCCTGGCCTGAATACTTCTTTCATCTCTGGCTCTGTAGATCATCCTGAGAAGAGATGATATTAGCTCTTTTTTAAAAATTTTTTAATGGGTAGCAGCATAGACAAAGCAGTTGCCCTTACAAATTTGATATTATTCCTCTGCTAGGTTTAATTTAATTACGCTTTATCCATTTTAATAATATTCACCCAAACATCCCGCTTTCCTAATCCAATTTACTCTGAGCCTGCATATATTTAGAAATGCAAATAAAATTAAAATCTATGTGTAGAAATTTCAAGATAATGTAATCAAGAATTGCATATACAGTATTTTTCAATAATTAAGAATTTGGTCAGGGGGAGGGTAAAAGTGTTTTCTGTGATGACAACTCATGAGAGACATTAATTCAAACCAACAATGAGGAAGGAAAAGAAAGGCCAGCTAGTTATTTCCAGGTATTTTGAAATTTAATTTTTTGAGCAGTGGACTGGAGCATCATATTTAAGAAGAGTCTTATACTAATAATTCTCTTGGTG